CTCACATCACCCATGGAAAAGCCAGTCTGAGAATTGCTGTCCTAATCCCTTCACTGGGGCTGGGACAGGCAGGGTGTCTGGCCCCAGCCACCCTGGACACCTGCTCCCGAGGAGCCCTGCAGATTCTTCAGCAACTACGGCAGTACTCCAGTGCTGGGACGGCAGCACAAGACCTGCAAGCTGCACGCTGGGGTGCAGTTCTGCCCCAGGGGCTTGTGTTCACCCCAGGACTGTCAGCGCCCCTGCCCATATTGGTCAGGTGCTTCCCAGTGGCCTCTGTGGGACGGACCACTCCAGCTGGCCAGCTTTATTGCTTTGCAGAAAGTCACTGAGCTGAGCAGCGGACAGGGAGTTGGGGAGCTTCTTGCCATTTGCTGGTCACTCACGGAGCGCTCGATTGTTTCAAGTGGAGATGTTGAACTGTGGCCTAGTCAATTAAAGAAGACTCTGGCCTCATGCTCTCTTGGGCTCAGGGGTGTGGAGGACATCACTGGGTTGCTCTTGCTTGAATTGGATATGCCCCTACCCAGTGGCACAGTGGAATCAGCTTTAAAAATAGCTGTGCCAGGGTTTGACTCCCAGAGAAGCTGATATAATTGTTCTGGGAAGGACTGGGGTGTCTGCGGCTTTTTGAAGCTCCCGAGTGATCCTAATATCAGCCAAGGTTGAGTTGGATATTTAAAAAATTTTGTCCAGCTGTGTTTTTTGTTTTTTGAGATGGAGTCTCGCCCTGTCACCAGGCTGGGGTGCAGTGATGCTGTCTCAGCTCACTGCAACTTCCACCTCCCAGTTCAAGTGATTCTCCTGCCTCAGCCTCCCAAGCAGCTGGGATTACAGGTGTCCGCCACCACGCCCAGCTAATTTTTGTATTTTTAGTAGAGATGGGATTTCACCATGTTGGTCAGGCTGGTCTCAAACTCCTGACCTTCTGATCTGCCCATCTTGGCCTCCCAAAGTGCTGGGATTATGGGCATGAGCCACTGCATCGGCCTTGTCCAGCTAAGTTTTTATATATGTATATATATATTTTTAAGATAGAGTTTTGCTGTGTTGCCCAGGCTGGTCTTAAAGTCCAAGCGATCTTGCTGTCTTGACCTCCCAAAGTGCCAGGGTTACAGATGTGAGCCACCATGCCTGGCTGTTGAGCTGCATTTAGTCATTTACCCATGTGCCCTCCTTGCCACGTGTGCAGCCACGGTTCCTGAAGACCTGGGAGATGAATCAGTGACAGGAACACCTGGGAAATAAAAATAATGGAGAGAGCCACCAGTTAGTGCGCATCCACTGCTGCCAGGAGCCACGCGCAATCCTCACCATGCCAGTAGGAAGAAAGTTCTGAAACGCCCCCATTTTGTGGATGTGAACACTGAGGTCCTGGGGGTAAAATAACATGCCCAAAGGCACAGGGCTGGTAGTGCTGGAGTCAGAAGTAGCCTTAGGTCCCCTGTGATTCCAAAGGGCTGCCTTTGCCTTGGCCACCCCTGCTTGGACTTTCAGTGGGGACAGTTGGGATTGTGGTCCACACTGGAAATCCCAACTAGGTCCCACACGATGGAAAACTAAGGTTCTTCATTACTTCCAGTGCTACGTATAGAAGCTGACCCAAGTTGCCGTTTTGAAAAGAGATAGTTGAGGAAATTCAGTATTTAAGTTATTTCTTGGCCTCTCAGGAGGGCTTTGTGTTTTTGAAGGATGGGCAGTTAAATATACACAGGTTGGGATTTTCTGTTCCTCTTTGAACACTCGGGGCCAAGTGTGGGGGAGGAAGACTGAATCTCACAAAGCTGAGATGATCAGATAGTGCCGGATGTGCTGTGGGGCCTGGATAGCTGACACTGCTAATATATGACCCCATTGGTGCCTCCAGTTTTCGTTCTCTGATTAGAGATTGTGTTTCTTTATCTGGGTGCTCAAATGCCTCCGAGTTTGATCCTTTCTCATATTCTGAATTCCATTTCCAGTTCCTCAGAGTTTCATCCTAATTTTATAAATTACTGAAGTTTTTCCAATAAAATGTCATCTTCATCATTGTTATTTTTTTTTTTTTTTTGAGATGGAGTCTTACTCTCACTCAGGCTGGAGTGCAGTGGTACAATCTCAATTCACTGTAACCTCTTTCTCCTGGGTTCAAGCAATTCTCCTGCTTCAGCCTCCCGAGCAGCTGGGACTATAGGCAAGCGCCACCACATGGGGCTAACTTTTGTATTTTTTAGTGGATGTGGGGTTTTACCATGTTGGCCAGGCTGGTCTCAAACTCATGGCCTCAGATGATTCACCCTCCTCAGCCTCCCAAAGTGCTACTATTACAGGCGCGAGCCACTGCGCCCAGCCCATCATCATTATTGATGTCATTGATTACACACACAGCATTGTAATTCCAAAGAATAGACACGGGTGAGAAAACAGAATCAGTAATTCTTCCTTGACTAATCAGATTGTTTTCAAATATCTGATAATGGTTTTTTATGCATTAATTAATGATTTTATATGGTCATAGATGTAGGGAATGGTTTGTAATCAGGTTTTTAAAAATTCTAAAACTAAAACATTTTTATTATAATATGCCCTAAACATTTTTTTCATTTTATTAAAGCATCTTACAAATGGTCATTTTTTTTCTTTTTCTTTTTAATTGCATTTTAGGTTTGGGGGTACATGTGAAGAACATGCAGGATTGTTGCATAGGTACACACGTGGCAGCGTGATTTGCTGCCTTCCTCCCCATCACCTGTATCTGGCATTTCTCCCCATGTTATCCCTCCCCAACTCCCCGCCCCTCACTGTCCCTCCCCTGTTTCTCCCCCACAGACCCCAGTGTGTGATACTCCCCTCCCTGTGTCCATGTGTTCTTAACAAAGGGTCATTTTTAAAGAGTGTATAATGGTTCATCAAGTTGACAAGTCATATTCTAAATCAGTTCTCTGTTGTTAAAAATTAAAGTGCCTAGTAGTTTGTTGTTACACGTCTAAGGGTGCCACGAGCATCCTCGTGCATATAACTCTTTCTTCTTGGAAAATCCTTTGGACAGATTCTCAGCAGAAGGATTATTGAGTCAAAGAGCACAATTTTACGGCTCTTGACCCACATTGCCAAATTACTTTCAACTGGGGTTCTCGATGCTGCCTCTGTCAACATGTGGATGTGCCAGTTTCACCACAACGTCATCAACATGGTGTGATTGGCCTCAAAAAATTATCATTCAATGGGTGCAAAATGGTCTCTTGTTAGATTTCTATCTATTTTTTATCTTTAGTGAGGGAAGTTTTCTTTTTTCTGTCTGTGTGTTTACCAACTCTCTTTGGGAATGCTGACATTGGCTGCTCCCCCAGCCAACTCCTTTACTTTCCATGTGGACGCTGTCAAGTTGAGCCACTTGTGACGCAGCCTTAAAATGAGTGAGCTTCAGCATGAAGCCTTTGTGTGAAATTCGGCTTAGCACACTGGCCCCTGAGTTCGGAGGCTGGGATTGCAACACTCTGCTCTTCACGTCCTGGGGTTCTGCATGAAATCACTGAATGGCCTTGTGGTCTTTATGACTTCAAACTTAACAGTTGTCCCTCTAGATTTGTCTTCTGAGTTAGGCAGCGTTTTTCTTCAGAAAGCATGAGATTACAGCGCCTTCAACTATTTTTGGGTTTCCTAGCTTGAAAAACGAAGAGAAGAAAAAAGTCCCTGTGTTTTCGTGTTGTCTCTGTCTTTGTGAGGCTGTTGTGTTTCTAAATGGCTTTTTCTGGTTTTGTCTTGTGCTTCACTCACCACATCCTGTGGGGTTGGAGGCTTCTCTAGCTCTGTCTCTCTCTGCCCGTCTGACGTTGAGTCCCTGGAGCCCTCCCCAGCTCTTCAGCTGGGACCTTCCCCTGCAGGAAGGCTGAGGCTAGCAGGGAAAAGCCAGGATGGCTTTTAAAGATCCTTGCTGTCGCTAAGGAAGAGTAGAACTTACAGGTTTGGGTTTCCAGAAATGCCGCCATTCAACTAAAGGGAATAAAAGGATGGGAGTTAGAATTTCAACTTACATTTGCAGAGTCCCAGAGTTAAAAGAAACCTTGGAGGTCATCTCTTCCAACCCTTCTCCAGAGCAGAACTCCCTCTATAGCATTTCTGATGGTGAAATTGCCGTTACTTGCACCCCTCCCATGCTGGAGAATTCAAAAGTTTCTTGTTGAATAAAACCACCCTGTTACAGACTTAATTTTTTCTTAAAAAGGTTTCTATTTGAAAGGATTTGGGCAAAAGCAAGAGGAACTTGGTAAAGCCTTATTACCTGGGTCTTGCTGTGAACAGTGTATGCAGTATGCATTCAGTCTGGCTCTGCCTTGGGTAAGCTCCCTCAGCCTCATCTTGCCCGTCTGTTGCTCAAGGGCATTAGGTGGCTTTTCAGGATTAGTGACTACATGACAAACCCACTAGTACCCAGCACCAAGGAGGCTGGAGATGAGTGACTGTGATGAGGATGGATTTTTTTTTTTGAATTTCTTTTTTTTTTTTTTTTTT